ACTACAACACTGTAAGCAATTCAGTTTAGGGAGAAACACTCAGAGAAACCAATGGAAAAGTGGTCAATAATTGTCCAGTTACTATGCAAAAAAGCTCWGGGTCTCAAAATTGTTTTAATTGCTAAATTAATATAAAGAAGTAATTATTTGTAATACTTATCAAGAATTGATACCTGTACAAATAACCATGACAACAAGACTGCTGGAATTGGCTCATTATTTCTACCATACACCTTCATAAATGGTTGCAATACAATACCTGATTGAAATAAGTGATCATATTAAAACATGGCATTGAGGTATCTAGGACATGAATGAGAAAGTGATCTCCAGCTTACCAAACAACTTGTCTTTTGCAAGGGCATGAAGKATACGTGATGCTCCTGAGAAAATGAAACAAAGTGGACTCCATATACACAGCAGTACTAATGTATGCTTAACTACAACTCTTGACACCATTACATTCACAATAGAAGAAACTAAGATTGAGTGAAATTGTAATAAATAATGGATTATTGATTGGATGGCTATAGCTATAAAATATAAACAAGGAAAATGAGTAAGAAAATTCTGTTGTCCTGTCAACAACAAGGACAAACTTTCACTCACCAATCAGACAACTCAGGGCTGCAGATAAAGTTGCTGCAAAGACTCCAACTGCCACRAGCTGCGGAACTTTGTTGATTGGCTGAAAAAATAAAACATGGGTTCRTGGCTTTGGGATAATCTACCACAAATTGGTATACTAACATGTATAAAAAAATCATAATGCATGCTAAAAATGCATGACACAATTTAATGCAATCAGGCTCAAAGTCTGCTTCCCAAACAGGGTTAGCCTGCTAACATGCGTTCCTGCTGGGGGGCCGAGAAGGAATGGGGAGGAGGAGCTTAATTGTTACTCAGTAGGATGTGCCATCATCTGACAATTTCACATCTTATTACTGTACAAAATCAATCATTTTAGCAGCCAAGAATTGTAGTACAAATATTTMTTGTGGGATCCACTCAGATGTTTTTTATTGTATTTTTTTTTCTTTTTGTCTATTGTTTTTGTTTTCAAACAAAAATTGTTCTCAAAACTTACACAAAAGTATAACTTTTCAAACAATTATTTAAGTAGAAATTTATTGGCTTAAATAATGCAGGTTGAAACGTTACAGCCTGTGAACCCCAAAGTCAATGGGTCAGTCAATGGTGCTTACAATTAAAAACCTAGAATACTTCTTACTTGTAAGTAGGTGAAATTGTTATGCAAAAGTCCTCTGGAGCAAGTGAATCCAGTGAATATTACTAAAACAACAAATGTCTTGAATTAAAGGAAAAAATTAAACAAAGTGTAAGAAAGAGAAAGCTACAGAGGCGTACTTTAAACTGGTGACAATGTCTCACTGCTATTAAAAAAAAGAACATGAGATAATCAATGTTCTTAGCTGTGAATGTCCCCACCTAGTGTGTGCAACACAAGTGTGGCCACTACAAGCTATGAAGATTTGATTATGGAAACGTCAAGAGAATATCCAGATATGAGCAACCAAGTACATGTTATTGTAATATGTTATAACATCTCCCTCAAGTAGCAGCTTCAACAATGAAAATACATCAGAGAATACAACTTAGAATCAAGGTAATTTTGTCACCAATCTCACTCTTTTTCTCTGGAATTTCATGATGGAGGACTGTTCTTATTGTATTGTGATTTTCATTCCACAACTCTTGAAATAAATTGGCAATGTGACCTTTTTTATACACTGCCATCAACTTAAGAGTCTGTATGAACAGGTACAATTTTGACCATAATTTGGCAAAAGTAGCCAAAAGTTTTCCTGGTTTCTGGCTTCTAATGAAATCCTAAAAACATTTTTAGCAGTGCCAACTTTAATAGTTGGCCTCAGCTGAATACCCTGCCCCAATCACCAATTTGCTTTGTGCAGTGTGCATTAATATTTTCCATGTACAATAAYATTGTGCAAAGCAAATAAAAGATAAAATGACATTAAATATAAAAAAATGAAATGAAAAGAAATGAAAATAAAATATATGAATAAAAAATAAATGAAAACTAGCAACTACATTTATACAACACCAACTAACCTAAAAGTATATAGATGATAAAAGTGATAAAACAGCCAGCAAGGGTACCAAAGGGAATAGCTCGTCCTGGATTYTTCAAGTCCCCAGACATGTTAACACCAGCTGTAATAAATGAAAATGTGTACTAGTAAGAAAATATCCATATCCCCAACACAGAGGACATTTTATAATCTATATATTTTTTTATGTAATGTTTACAACATGAGGCCGTGTTGTATGGGATTTACAATCTCGAGCCGAAGACGCGAAATTGTAAAGCCCATACAACACAATGTTGCAAATTAATTGTGAAACGTTTAGGTGTATACATTCATAATCTACTAAAAACTTAAAGATAAAATTGAATTTGGCTGAGAAAATTAGATTTGAAGTTTATGCAAATCAAGACAGTTTTGTATCAAATATTACAACACTCTTCAAGGTTGTGATTTATATTGTGTTTTCCTCATTAATTATTCATATTGAGTTTTACAAAATTCTATAATATTTAAATTTTACCCCACTCCACCCCTCCGGAATTTCCGATATCTAACTTTTAAATACATTTAAAAAATATACCCTGCTATAATAACACTCAGGGACAATGTCATCAATCCATACCCATAATTCCTGTGACACCATTGAAAAGAACTCCAAACACAACCAAAGGAGTCAAATTYTTATGGCTTTCTGATGAATAGTCCTTGCCATACTTGCCCTTCAAGGAAAAAGGAGTCTCAAAATAATTAGAACAAAACAATCAAAATCAACATATGGAATAAACGCATAAAAACTTTCAAAACTATTTCAACATTCATTCAATGCAACTAATTGTAGTTGCAAGCATTTATTGAATGTTGAATGGTGTTGATTGAGTGGTTTTTGTATGTTGGATGGTGGGTGTGCAAGTGCTTTTAATATTATTTTGTTCTGTTTTGTTGAGTGTAAATATTGAACATGATCAGGGCTTTCAAATGTATGTTTCAACAGCACAGTGAATACTGCACGTATACGACATTCAGAGAACAACAAACGCATTCAACATTGCTGTCCAACAAACTTGAAAAAATGTTGAACTAAATATGTTGAAAGCATTTGGGCCAACMGTAAGATTTTTTGTGACTTTTTTTTCTTAACCAATAGAAAAAGTTTTCCTTACCCATAAATTTTCTTGAGCTGTCTTTAGACTCCAACTAGTGTAATGATACCTGCATGTTGACTAAGAGGAGATAAATGAAACAATAAACACAAATGACAGTTGTAAATGAGATGTAAATTTAACCTATGACCAAACCAAATATATCCAAACAGTATAGTGTAATTTGATTAATACACTTAGAATATTAGGTATTATCCATAACAATAGGAAAGTGAGTGTATAGAATTTACTATGCCATAAACTATAACTATTTACTATATGGCACTTTATTCATGTATAATTTACTGTACATGTTAAAGTACTATATTCTCTATAACAGGGTTCCATGATTGTGCAGTTGTATTATCCAGACTGCTTACATCCCAGCTGGATATTTTTTGTACTACTGCTCTCTCAACATTACATAGTTGACTTACATTATGTAATAGATTGTCACTGGCTGGAGGTATATCTTTTTTACCCTGAATGAAAAAGCTCACCTGAACAAAAAAAAACAAGTTGCAATTATCAATAAATAGGCTTTTCAAGTCTGAGAACTTTAACACAAAATTGTTCTCTTCAAGTAATGATTATAACAACAATAATAAGGATCAAATCAGTCATTATACATACAAAAGATGAAGACACAGCAACTGTCACTGCCAAAAATATAATGAATGACGCCTTGGCAAACAATCCTAGAAACAATACAATAACAAATAGAGTAACTATGGGCAATCCAATGAATAAAACAGCTTTAAGTATTAGGGTGTTAGATGAGCTTACCTGCTCCTACAAGACAAATTGCACAACAAATTATTAAGGCACATGAGCCATACAATAGTTTCCATTCATAACCCTGACGAAGCCCTATTTAAAGATTGAAGGAATAGCTCATTCAAAATAACTTGCATTCTTACTTACTATTAAATAGTATAATCACTATGATTTAAATAAATAAATAAATAAATAAATCATAGTGCTCATAATTCACAGGCTTATACATGTATGTCATTCTCTATGGATTAATATTAAATTAATACAAACCTTCAGAACCAAAATTGTTTACTAAGGCTTCAACGAATCCCAAGATGTAAAGGCCACTTGAAAATACATTTGCAAAGAAGAAAATAACTCCAATTGATCCTCCAAATTCAGGTCCAAGAGTGCGACTTATCATATCTTTTTGAACAGTCAAATCAACATAGCACATTTATTATATATAATCATTAATGTCATGAAATTACATGTTTAATAACAGTATATAACTTGCCAGGATATTTAWTCAAGAGTCTTACTTGWGTTGCACTTATTGATACAATTCAAMCAGCTTTTAATAGTCTATAATGAGAGTTATTGATAAAGGATACAATATGCACCTCCACCTTTGACAACTCCATTTGTTGCAATGGCTGATATTGACAATACTGTAATGATWACTACAAAATATGCTATAGTGAACATAAAAACTCCTCCAATCAAACCAGCCTACAAATAAAAATAAAGGTTATGAATATGTCAGGCCCTTCAACAATCACTCCATCTACAAATTGTGCAGTAAATTATAACAAATGTGGTGAGTTTTCCACTGATAAAAAGTGCATTTATCACTTTCTTCCCAGCTGGATGACCATGTGAGTGACATTGTACAGACCAAACAGGAAGTNCGCGCTATGCCTATTATACATTATCATTAGTACGTTGAGTCTCATCACTAATATCTTACTTAATATTAACTAAGCCTGAAATACAACAAATCGAATCGATCCTGTTAACCTTGGTTTAGTACCTGTTTCGGTGGTGGGACGAAGTAAGGTAGTTTTCCTCTCTGAAAATCGTTTAGTATCATCTTGGCAACTGTATTTACATCAGGCTCGGCTCCCTAGAAAGTATAAATAAGYAAACACGTGACAAACGAGYAAACAAATAAAACAAATAAAACTCASAATCAAGTACCTTAAGCAGCTTTCCTGTCCTTCTTGCTAACTGTTCTAAGAAGTCTGTTACATCATTCCACGAAGTCACCTTGTAAGTTTTAGCAATGTACTCACGTTTAACCCGTTCCAGTACCGTTGRGATATGCTCTGCTGCATCTTTGACATTCTCAACTCGAACCTATACCAAAAAAAATGTCTTCATATGCTTCATGATGTATAACTTATTATATCAAGATTGAAGACTATGCTGGGATGCATCCACTACAGTCAATGATTCTAATGCGATTGGTTGTTTTGTACTGACCACGCCCTTGAGTATAATATCTGTCTCTGTATCTCCACTTGGATATACCACACCAGGGCAGTCCACAAGGTAGATACGACGCATCAAAGTTATGTACTGCCACACCTTGAAGAAGAAATTAGAAAGCTATTGGTTTGGCAGTATAGTGCAGTAACAATAATGTGATCAAGATTATGCTAATCAACCCAAAAAAACACTGTACTGATAGTGAGTAATGATTATCTTATGATACTGATGTCTCTCATTGCCTCTTTGAACCAAGTGTACAATTGGGTACTGGAATTGGCAGCTTAAGAKAGAGGTACCCACTAATACCATTCTGGTGGACAATTGTTGAAAGAGGAACCATTTCCGTCAAGTCGGACTTGAATCAACTGGAATATAAAACCTAAGAATAGCATATGCTAATGTATAGGTATGCCCAGATCTAAAGGCTCTTTTTAGTGGACAGGAACCATGATTGATCTGATTGCTTCACTTGGTAGTAACTTCCATAGCCAAATAGCTTTTGGGAAAGAAAGGGTACCTTACGAAGAAAGAGTACCTTCCAGCTTGTGTTTTCTTGTACATTSKGAGGAAACTTGATGTTTACAATTCCRTTGCATATTTTGTGGAAGAGTTTTACTGTGGTTCTTTTTAAGATACTGATGAGGATGATACAACAATGTTTCAAATCCCCTACATGAACTAGTACTGACCTTCGTTTCACCAGCTATGGGAGCTACTTTGCAGACTTTTTTTGCTCGAAGAGTGTTGATAATTGAACTCTTGCCAACATTAGGATAACCAATCAGTCCAACACTGCAAAGAAAATCAACATGATATAAAAATATTTCATGTTTTCAACTGTACACTAAATATTTTTTATAATCTCACCTTATCTGCTTTTTATCACTGTGCAGCTTAAAAATTAGATAGAAATTAGTTAGGAATCTTCATTTTAAAGTAATGATTAATAATTATTAGTAAATCATTAAGTTACAAACCTTTGAGAATTGCCTCAACAGATTGATAAGTGCACCTTTACCAAAKGGATTTGTAACACTGGCGTGAAATGCTAAAGTAGGATACTCTGAAGAGAGCAAGGTCACCCACCGTTGCTAAAGAAATATAACGTCAGAATTGCTTAATGCTAATACACAGTTAAGGTACGAGACCTATTAAATTAATGTAGATGCTTACCGTCACCCAAGGTGGCACCAGATCACATTTGTTTATGATGAATATAAGGTGTTTGTAGGATTTTTCTTTTTTCATGAATGTTTCAATRTGCTTGGATCTTGTTCCCATAGGATCTCTAGCATCTAACACCTTGGAAATCAGAAGAATAATCATGTTGACATCTCTAAATTTTAAATTGATGAAAGTCCTTTTAAAMACGYTTSTAATCCTCCTTGAGTGTYGAGAGRCCATTTGCATGATGGTATACCTCCCAGAGAAACTTATACATTTTCTTTTATYATTTAGATTTTTAATCCTTGTTAACTGGAGATAAGTAAATCAACTGGGACTAATTATRAAAAAGAAAGTGTTCAAATTATTCTGGYTCCATAATTCAAATTGCCTATTCTCTTTCTTTCACCTCATACTACTACTGCTGGCCTTCCAGTGTTTCTCATATAACGGAGAGTCACTGCTGCCACACAGATCCAAAAAGAGCAAAATGATGGGTTGCCTGAGTGTACAGGGGCTAACAAAGACATACCTGAAGTACTATATCTGAAGAGTCAATCACCTGCAAAATAAGACAGACTTAAAGCTATGCAAATAAGTAATTGGATTTATTGYYWC